CATCAATTATGATTGGCAAATTTGTTTTGGCAAGGAAGGCCTTGCTTCTTTCTTAAACAGAATGATTATTACATATTTTCATTTGGAAGGTAGGGTGCAAACTGCAAAGGCAGCACGCGTAAAGAGGTTTCATCAGCTCCAGCATGATGCTTTTAGTTCAACTGTGTTGCAAAATATTAACAATTTGAATGCAATAATTTCAAAATCACCAGCTTTCTTTCAGGACTTCACCTTAGAAGGCATAAATAACTTCACTAACAGATCACATTTTATTTGCTCTCATTGCCATTTTATTATATGCACAACAGAAAGTTGATGATAGAGACCCCAAACTCAGAAGAGCATCTAGTTAAGTAGTCTAGGGCCATACCTTGAAACTCGCCTCTTTTCTCATCAAAGCTATCCTTAACCTGCATAAAATCTAATTAGTCCTGTGACACAATTAACTTCTATCTGCATTACTTTAAACTTTATGTCAGAAGCACAAGCAAGAAAGATAAAAAAGACCCAGCAATACATAATTACGCATGAGTTTCATATCTCCAAAAATCCAAATTTTTTATTTAGTCCAAGTCTGAAGAAATAAGCGGTTTTTATGAAGGAAGGGGGAAAAGGACTTGCCACAGTTGGAAACATAGATTCATGGGTTATTCTGGGGCTCCAGTTGAGTACTGGCTCACCCTTAAAATCTATTTCATTACTGTAGTGGGATTTTAAAGAAATGGGCTTCAATATTTAAGCTTCTCATTACCCACAGGAGTCCCACCTCCATAGCATAAAAATTACTCTTTCTTCAATCAAGAGTCAAGACATCAAGTCAAAGAAGTGAGGAAATTGTACGCATATGTATTACAGTAAACTAGAAAGATAGCCAACAGCATTTAAGAAGCTATCACATGTGTAAATAAAGAAAGACAAAAAAGAATGAAGTTGTACCATTCCATGCTCTCCCAGTTCCATGTGAGTGCAGTGAGAATAGACCCATTCCTAACCAATATTGAAAAAGGGAACAATAAATGCAATGAACAAAGAGCACAATATAAATGAAGGTGACTCCAAAGCCAAACCTGTTGCTGCTGCAATTTGGCATTGACATCCTCTCTAACCTTCACGTAGTGAGTGCTGTTATGACAAACATGGAAAGTCGATAAGTATTTTTTTTCTCGATTTATGTGTGTCCTCGCTGGGAATAATTTGATATATAATATCAGCTTCATGTTAAACAATTTAGCTTGCGTATTGAAATACCTCTTTTCTATAAGCTTGGAAGATAAGTTGATTCTTTCTTGTTCGATAAGCTCCAGAGTCTACATAGGTACCAAAATATTTATTGTCATGACTCATGAGCAATTGAACATATTATAAACTTATTCATTTCTCTTTGAAAGTAAAATGGATACTAGTCAGGGATGTGAAATGATAAACACTAAATGCATAATTCAACTCGCCTTTACTATTCCATTAAAGAGTCAAACGAAATATTTTTATGAAATAAATTTTGTCTTATACGAAACAGATAAACCCAGACTCCCAAATGAAGTGTACTCAGCAAAATAGTAATGTATATCAGAACTTTGAATTTTTTAACTTGTTAGATAGTCCCTGCGTTCTTAACTTCTTACAATCAGACATGCATGGCCGGAAAATAGAACTAAAAAACTTATCAACATGGTATTAACAAAAGCATGGCTTATACGAACTTGAATATAAGCAAGGCTACCGCACATTATAGAGAAGAAAGGGCTTCTGATTATGAGTTATAAAGAAAACTAAAGCAAAATAACTGACCCAAGTCCAAGTATTGACCTGAAAATGGAACACCAACACAAGTGTAATATCAAACAGGCTTCTATTGGATAGAAGATAGTTATACCATTGACGTGAAGCTACTCAGAACAGGTCAATGTTTTTTATTTCAAGTAAAGTTTAAGCCATGTGTTTGGAACTTTGGTGGGCAATTAGAAATTCCATCTGAAACAGAAGACATAAGGAAGAAAATGACTTTTTCAAAAGTTAAAACCAAAGAAATGAGGAAGATGATGCAGCTGTCCACTTGGATCTAAAATGTTTCTACATTTTTCACTGTTTTACTTTATGAAAATTGATGATTATTACAATAATTTGCACACCTCACAACTTCCATTTGTAGATACTACATGTTGCCAAGTTGATTGCCTTAAGTTTTAACCTCATCTTGATTAGCATACACCAGCAGAGCCACACACAAACACACAATGGCTACCTGGATCAGTGTGGACGAATCAGACTCCAAAGAAGCCATCTTTCTCTGCTTTTCCAAAATTAGCGAGCATACTTGACCTTTCGCATTTTTCATCTGCTCAATGTCTTCCATGAATCGTTTTGTTTCTGATATTGCTGCAACAGAAAAGAGTCACAATTCAAAAGTGTAAAAGGCAACTAACTGAAGAACAAATGGCAAATAGAAAGTAGTTTCATATCTGGAACTCAATGCATTAAACTGCTCGAAATGTTCAAATGGAAGATGCTGGATTTTACTTTCCCAACTAACTACAAATTAAAAGGAAACCTTAATGACCAAAACATCTGGACCTGAATACATTAAATTGCTCGAAATGTTGTAAAGGACTTATAATCAACAGAAATCCTTGAATAACTAGAATATTCAAACAAGTTGAACGCAGATCCAATCCAATTGAATGCATCTCGTGCCTCAATCTCACTTCTCGCGGGTCTGAGAACCATAGGGTAGCAGCAAAGAGTCAAGATAGACTTGATTCAACAGTTTGAAGGCTGTCCTTTATAAATTGATGGCATTTTGGTCATATAATTAGCATTAAATTTACATTTAAAACGAGTCTACTGTACGAGGAAGCTAGGAACAAAATTCGATGTTCCAACATTTGAGAAAATACGGGTATTAGATTGAAGGAAACGAATCAAAATTTTGCACTCATTAATTTTAAACACAGATTAAAAGAATGAGCAAACTGCCTGCACACATACAAAAATTGAGTCAAACTAAGCACGAAATGTAAATCCGAAGAAGAAGAGAAGAACCAGAATTGAGATCGTTCTCCAATGTCTGAATGGTGGTCAACTGCATTTGCTCTTCCACTGAGACCTTTGCAGCTTGATCTTCCACATCTATACATTTTTCGAATTAAAAAGGAAAAGATCAATCGGTCGAAATTTGCGTAATTAATTCAGAAAAAAAAAAAGGAAAATATTAACAAATTGAAAAGAGAGGGATTCGAAATGGAAATGCACCGTTCATCTGAGAGCGCAACGTCTTCATGTACTGCAAGTATTCCTCCATTTTCTTCTTCTTCTTCTTCTTCTTCTTCTTCTTTACTTTCTTTCTCTCTTCACAGCTTTAGCTCACAGAGAGCGAGAGTGTCAACCATCAACTGTGAAGTGAAGATTGGGATTTAGGAATCGCCGATTTTTGGAGGGAAAGTTGAGGAGAAGATCGAGGTTCTGGTCGCCTGATACATCCCCATACATAACCCAGCCCAAACAGACATTGCTGATTTTTATTGGGCCCAAACAAATTTTGCTGATTTTTACTGGCCCAAACACAATTGATCGCTCACAATTTATTTTAGGTGGTGATTTTTACAAACCTCATTTTATGTCACATACATTTTTAATAAAGGAAAATTAATGAAAATGACTTGAAAATTTTGAATTTAAATGAAAATAACAAAAATGTGTTGTAAGTGAATAGTACCATAAGTGACTTTTTAGAGTAAAAATGTCATTAACGTTAAAAGTGAACAGTACTATAAATGTTTCGTTACAACTCTCTTTTAATGATTTGATAACTTTGTATATAATTATACATAGCGTCGTGGTTTGACACACCTCATTCACCTCACACAAAACCGGTCTTCTTCTCGGGCTTGTGGAAAAGTGCATTAGCACTGAACCTTATGGTTTCAAGCTAAAAGGCCGGTAAGTATTGCAGGGAGAACTGAAAATATCATTTGGTAACTAGTTTTAATTTTTAGTTCGAAAATACTTATTTATTTATTTGTCCACCGAACTTGTATAAAGTTGACCCTTTTTTCTTTGGACTTTGATTTTAGCCAATAACCCTCTTAACTTTATAAATAGCCAAGTTTCCAAAAATCGACAAATACCTCTTTCAAAATGGTAAAAACTAAAAACCAAAACCAACAACTAGTTTCTCTAATTTTCAAAATTTCGTTTTGTGTTTTCACTTGTTATTATTAATTTTCTAAACAATAAAATTGAACTGTAAGATAAATTTATTGGAGCCTTATGATGACTATTTTGTTTTTTATTTTTAGTTTTAACTTTTTTAAAAAGTTCAACTTTTTTCGTTTTTAGTTTTCATTGGTGTTGGTGGTGTCCTCAGGATGGGGGCATGGGTTTCTGATTTTTGTGCTAATCTTGGTTGAGGTGAGATTCTATGCGTTGAAGTTCGAGGTGTTTTTATTAGACTGCAACTTGCATGAAATTATTGATTTCAAATGCAAAAGTGGATAATCACCCTCTAGGAAGTTTGGTACTAAGTTGTCGTGCCCTTATACACCAAAGTTGGTCTTGTGAAATTCATCATATCTATCATCAAAAGAATTTTGTTGGTGATGATTTGGCTCGTTTGGGTTTGTCAGTTTGGGTCTAGTCTTTTTTGAGCAAGGTCCTCCTTTTTATTATCGGTTGCCAACTGCAGATATAGCTGGAATATTGTGACCTGGTGATATTCTTATATAATATTTCTTTCCTTTCATGCTTATGCCCCCTTGTCAACCAAAAAAACAAGTTCAACTTTCAATTTTTAAAATGTAAAATTAAAAGAAAAACAAAATAATTGAGAATTTATCTCACACTTGACTTTTATTCTTTTAATTTAAACTTTCAACTTTCAAAGTTTTAAACGTTGAAAACAAACTAGTTTTTAGTTTTCAAGAAAATGAAAAATGAAAATGGAATTAATTTATCAAATAAAAATTAGAAATTGGGAAATTAAAAATTGAAATAGCCTATTCTCCTATCGTATATCATATATGTGGATGTTTCAGGTGAGTACGAGTCGTATGCCCAGAATGGCGATCTCAACGAGAGTTGGGAGGAGGCAAGCGTTGCTGCATCAGAGTCTTCAGAGACGGCAGCAGTGGAGATTTTCTTCAAAGAGAGTCTTGTTTCGCGCGATTCTCGTAAGCGTGGCCTTCATCGCTTTTGTCCCTCCCATTTTCTTCCTCTTCAGACTCAAACTCTTTCATCAGGTACTCTTTCCTTTTACATTTTCCACCTCCTTCCTCTTCTTTTATCTACTAACACAAAATACCCATCAATATCTTAATTTTGACATTTTTTATTCATATTATAAATTTAGAATGCCGGAATTGAATCGTAGGGCTGAGTGCCACCAGACAACAAACCGTAATATCTCATTAGGTTTAACTTGATTTGGGAGAATTCTTAAAGTTACTCAAGGTTTTACAAAAGACAAGGAATTGTGTAATTTAGGCTTTATTGTACGGCATGGGTGCTTTTAGTTTGGCTGCCAACTGCTTAGATTATCAAGTGTTAACAGTTTGATTGTAGCTACATAGAATCTGACGCCAGCGACAAACTGACTGATGCATATTTTCCCCATCAATATGCAAGTTGTGTATGCTCGTAATTCGGTATTTACAAAGGACGTAACATTTTTCATTCCGGAGGCTCAGATAATTTACCGTCGAAGTTTTTAATCTTTCTACAGATGCAGTCGAGAAAGTGTGGTTGGCTAAATGAGCCTCCTCTTGTATGTGCGCACGGAGGTGACTCTAGTAAGGCCTTTCCTAACACGGTAAGCTCCCAATCTTAATTAATTAGTTTCGTTGGAACTTTTATATTAACTTAAAGCTCTGACTATTGAGTTTCCTATCCGGCTATCCCTGTCTCTCTCACACACTTTTATCCTTTTGTTCACTACTTCACAGATGGCTGCATATCGTTTTGCTCTTCACTCTCAAGTCGACTGCATTGAGATTGATGTTTCTCGTTCTTTAGATGGAGTTTTGCTTGCGCTCCATGACAGGTACAGTGGGTCACAAACTTCACATAATTTTCCTAGTTTGACTCCATATCTGATTGTTGTCATCATGCACCACCTTAATATTAACAATGATTTTCACTGAGCTTTTCTTTTTCTAACAACAAAAAGTCTGCGATGAACTTCCCTTTATTACTTTACTATATTAAGACACTAGATGACCATCCTACTGTCCAAAACCTCACCAAAATATTATTCTATGTGATTTCATAAACATAAGAAAAATTATATTAATAAGACGTGCTTCAGTAATGAGCACAGTTTTTGCCCTTTGTGGGACATGATTTATCAAAGATATGCTATTGTATAAATTTTACATGTTCAATCGAGACATTATTAATTGATTTGGCATATACAAAAAGTTTCATATTTTATCCGTATGGTATTTCCAGCAATACAGGCATTTGCATCCTTGGAATACCTCTTACTAGTCAAATCCTCATCATTCATCATATCAGAAGTCTAGACGTAATTGTAACTAAACAAACATTGAAGTTTGGCTTTAAATGGTCCCAACCAAACTTGAATTATGTGGACTAGGTGTTATTGGATCTCTGATGCGACGTTGAAATACTATGTCAACTAAAAGTTTGATTTCAAGTTCTGAACTATCACTATGCCTTGCATTGTTAGAATTTTATTTGAAAGATTTGATTCTCAAATGCCACAGGCAGGGATTTGCAGAGGATAACTGGAAACAATACTTCTAAGGTTGGGTACTTAAGTATGAAAGAGGTGAGTTTGCTATCAAGCTTTTGTTTGAACTACGTTAATAAATATCTCTATCCTGGATTTCTTGAGAACACCATCTTGTCGTCATTTTTAATTATACTGTTAGGTAGTTGCAATAACGTTGATTGAGAATATACTTTTGGTTTGTGATTGTAGATAAAAGATCTTGGTTCCATGGATCAGTCTGGAAAGGTCCCTGATAAAAATATTCTTACAATTGAAGAGGCTTTGGAGGTATCTTTCATGATCTGCTTTTACATCAATGTAAATGATCCTTTTGGTGTGCCTTAGCAACCCCCTCCCTCGAATTGTTCTTTGACTCTGGTTCTGATTATTGTTTCAGTTAGTTTCAGGTTCAGTTCAGCAGGTGATTCTAGATGTAAAGGTCGGGCCTCCCTCATTTGAAAAAGGGCTTGCTAAGGATGTACTTTCTGTTGTAAGTTTGTCTGCTTCATCTTCTGCCCTTGTTATTCTTTATTTTTAAAATGTTACAATCACAATTTACACTTAAAATCCCCAAAGTAGTCAACATCTTCATGTTTACTGAAGTCATGTGAAATATTTTTCATTACTTTTATAATTATTGTTATTGTTGTTATTATTCAGGTACATTTGTAATTTCAGTTAACATTATTATCCAAGTAACCTCAAGCTTCCCTAAAACTTTTTCCAGGTTAAGAGGGTGCAGTGTAAGAACTGCCTTGTATGGGCTAAAAGTGACAATTTAGCAAGGGATGTAATCAGACTCTCATCAGATGTCACGGTAACCAGCAACATGCGATTTTTCTTTTTCTGGTCTCTTGCATAATTTCTGCAGAAACACATTTGAATTAAAGGATATTATTGGTTTGTGTTCGTTTCTGAATTTGCTAACTGGATTAGTTGGGGAATTTTATCTCAAGAGAGTGGTTTATTTACGTGCATAATTGTGGTCAAGTTGTAGGTTCCCATTTAACTGCAATCATCGCATATCTTGAGTGCCAGGGGTCTACATGTTAAATAAAGTTTCTTGTAAACATGTTTGTTTAAGAGCTAGAAGGTTTATTTCTCTGTTCATTTATTTTTCTGCATTATTTCAACTCGTCAGGTGTACAGTTAGGGTCATCACTGCGCCATGTGGCCTTTTGAGCGTGGGGAGACCTGCATTGAGTGAGTTAAACTAACCAACAAAGTATAAGTTGGTGTGTGATTTGTGAGCTAGGAAGAAAGCACGCTAACCATGATATGAAATATTGCTGAAATATGCTAGGCGTGGTTTACTAAAATATCATATTTTATTTACTTTGTAAGTTGGATAGTTTTGTTTCTCAAAACAGTAAATAGTAACGACAATAGTAACACTACTACCAAGAGTTGGGATTGATTGTCATTGCCCACAGCAAGTCACCACTTATGCTGTCAAATGTAAACTCTTGTTGCAAGAGTTTGAGCTGATGTTGATAAATGTTTTAATACTTGCTGGCACAAGGAAGTGATTCTTCTATCTTTGTTTCTCCTTTCCGGTATTTGGATTTGATGAGGTCTCTAAGCTTCTGGACCTATCAAGTACTCTGAACCAGCCTTTTTCTTACTAACCAGGTCCATTCTATTTTTGTTTTCTTAGCGATAGAATGGCCTTTCTCTTACACAGATTGATGTTAATAATTGTATATTAGTTGGTTTGTAGGTTGCCATTTGAAAGCCTTTTCGTACTCTTTGAACTGTTTTTGAGTATTAAAAGAACGAAAATTAAAAAAATTTGCCGATTGTGCACATCTGAGTGGCAAAACAACTTGCTTACTGTTTCTGGATCTTCAAAAACAAACCTGATGTACAGCACTATCCTGGCCCAAAACCTTCTTTTGTCCAGTGCAAATGCTAGTCTATGAACACCTTTATAGATTTAAGTATATTTTATTTCAGTTTGTTGTTGCATGTCCCGGCAGGGCTTAGTCAATGAAATTGTTTGTGGTCACGCACTAGGGTAGTGGGAAAAAATATTGATACTAGTACCAGATGTTTCAGTTCAAAAGGCAGTTATGTTATGTTTTGAATGAGCATTTGGTGATATTACTGCAGGTCGGGTACATTGTTATGATGGATCCGTCGACCGGGGCCAGAAGCAACTTACTGAGGATGACAGGTGCTGGTGTTGTTGGTGTGTACCACGCATTGATTGATGAGAAGCTTGTGAGAATTCTGCATGGGTATGACTTCAACTTAGACGCTTTAGCATTGTAAGATACCTAGAGTGTATAGATGCATGTTAATGAGATTTCATGCTTTACGTCCGGGTTTCTACAGGAGAAAGAAGAAAGTGTATGCGTGGACTGTCGATGATGTGGATTCCATGCAAGAAATGTTGTCTGAGCACATTGATGCCGTCGTAACGAGCAACCCAACTGTACTTCAAGGTCTAATGCAAGATATCAAAAGAGAGTGTCTGGAGCACGGTTTTTCCTTATCAGAATAGCACCCGTTTATTTCAAGTAGCGGAACATTTGGGCCAAAAACAAAAAGGGAAATTGGTGTTGGACTGTTTTGAAAATCTCAAGATATCACCTGTACGTCCGTCCCTAGAAAGTTGTTCAATACGCCAATGTATTTCATTGTCATACATTGTGGTTTGGAATCGTTTTGTTTAGACAGGCAAATATGATGATTTCGTTTAAATGTTTAAATCTTGCCCTTCATTTGAACAATGCATGGCATAGATTTATACAATGTACTACCTAAACTAAAAACAATTTACCGTCTCCTTTTTTGATGACTGAATACGATGCTCCTACAACTTACTCTTTGTAATGCTATGAATTTTTGAAAAATCATTAGTGACACGTACGCAAAATGAAATGTGAGGATTGATGGGAGTCAATCAAACGGCTGGCAAATACTTAAGAAAGAAATAAAAAATGAAACCTCCACGCCTTCTTTCTCTTGATCTTTTTTCTCCAGCAACCTCTCTCTCTCTCTCTCTTTCTCAGCCCCCTCAAGTAAAAATGAAATTTGACGTCTCCATTAGAAACGACAATAGATAACAGGAATGATTTGTACCCATTTGTTAAAAAGTCATACTAAAGAAAGGTGCAATTTTGCTCATGCTGGGAATATGACTTCATACATCATGTGTTATAATATAAGTGGTTGAATATTTGAATTTTTTTTATAATTACTTATATTATAATACTTGATATATATATTTCTGGCACACTAAATATTTCTCCTTGAGATCTTATTAACTACCACGTGTCTCATCTTCCAAACATAATAAACTTCCTCTTTTATTAAATATCCTAGTAAACTTCTTTTAATGTGGGTGATAATCTAACTCCATAGAATTACTAATGGGACTCCGTCAAAATAGGACTCTCAAAACTCTCTACCACTTATGTTTTTGAAATAATTTATAATATTGGTATGAAAATTATGTAAAAAACATAAGGTAACAAAAAAATCCATAAAGAAAAAAGTGAAGCATAGAGCATCAACTTGACGTTGGTTAATTTTAGCGGCATTCCAACGTCCACGTTGCTTTGCAGGTGATTATCCTCTGGTTCTGGGGCACATCTAGTGTTATCCGCATTGGATAAAAGTCTCTTTGACTTGTAATTCAAATTCATACCCAAGTACCGACCTCTCAATTGTCAACACAAGGACAAAGAAGGAAGGAAAAGGCAAGCCTAGAGCAGAAAATATCTCTCTGGTTTTCTGAAATTCAGAACCGAACCGAACCAGCATTTTCAAAATTTCCGTTTTGATTAAAACAAAAGCAAAAATATCTAACGTGGGAGAAAGAATCAATCTGAATTCTGAATTATTTTTTAAATCTCTTGTTTTGTTTTTGTGTTTCTTTCGTTGGCTTGTACTAGATCTGCCAGACAGACTAGAGGTTTTCTTTTCCTGAGCAAACCCTGAATCCATTCAATTTCAAACCCTGAATCCATTCCATTTGTAAAGGGGTTGTGATGGCGGCAGCTGGTAATGGGGTGTCGATTTGGTTCAAGAACAAGGTGGTCGATCCCCTCCTCGAAATCCTCCGCAGGTACCCTGGCCTTTACGCGCTCTCTCTGATTTTCAGATTCGCACTTTGTGTTTTTTTTTTTTTTTTTTGGTTTGGCGGTTGCTGAGAAAGAAAGAAAGTTGTAAAAATTGATTTGGATTTTGAAGGGGTGCAGAACCTAAGCTGTTGGCCTTCTCTGCAGCTCTTGGCCTTACCATTGGATTGTTTCCAATATGCGGTACGTATGCATCATTCATCTTCTCAAATCCCATGCTGCGCTGCCTCTTTCAATACAATCTAGTAATTCTGCATACCATTATTCTTATTTTAGTTTAACACAGGTTGATTCCCCACTAGAACAGATTTTTCTCTTATTCCTACACTCATCCGAACAGATATATTTAGCCCCCAACAAAAACAATTTCACAATTTTATCGTGTCACACACTTCACTTCTAAATGCCCAACATATCTCATTGTTAGTTGTTCATTACATCATTCATTAGTGAATATTTACGTGGCTCAGCAGTGTGGCAATAATATGCAATATAGGACCCTCCTTAAATAAAACCTACCAGCAGTAGTTGCCGCCTTTTATCACTTCAGAGAACAGAAAGGAATTGCTATCTGAGAGTGGAAGGTTCGCGTAGGAAATTGTAGGCTGGATATAACTCGGCTGATGTTGATATGATTCCCCCTTTGTAGTTGTTGTTATGGATCTGGTATTTCTGGAGTTTTTTTTCAGAACTAGTGTTGGCTTCTCGAAATGTTCGTAAGTAGCTCATATTAACTGATGTTTCATTTATAGGGACAACTGTGGTTCTGTGTGGAATGGTAATTGCATTGCTGGGATCGCATTGCCATGCTCCAACTGTCATGCTGGCTAATGTCCTTGCTACACCAATAGAGCTGAGGTACTTGTGTTTTTATCCTAGCATCTTGTAATATTCTTACGTTTATGTAATGGCTGTGCATGCGACCAATTGTGTTAGTGCGTCCTTCATAAAATGTTTAAACAATCATTGATTGTGGATTGGTCTCGGACTTGGTACACCAATTCGTCTCTATGTTGATAGAAGCCTTAGAGAATAGAAACAGCATATACAAAAGAACTTGTCTTGAAGCTTTCGGTTGCTCTTGTACCATGCCTGTTACATTTTATGCTACATATACAATTGTTATCTTATTGGTTTTTTTTTTTTTTTTTTGTTGTTGTTTTGCTCTCAAGTTTGGTTGTACCTTTCTTGCGCTTTGGTGAACTTATCTCTGGTGGAGCTCATTTTCCTTTAACTTCTGACGCTTTCAAGAAAGTGTTAACTGGCCAAGCTTCACATGAGGTCTTAATAAGTATTGCGCATGCGGTAGGTTGCCAACATAACACCTTGTAGTCATAACCTCTCTCTCTATTTATGTTTATTAAACCATCACGTCTAACTCGTGTCAATCTTTGCAGTTGTTGGGATGGCTTGTTGCAGCTCCCTTAATTTTTGCAGCTCTGTACATAGTCTTTTTACCATGTTTTAAGGTGCTGGTTCCCAAGTTCAGTGCTGTTCCTTTGAGCCCAAAGAAATCAATTTCACCCACAGAAGTCAGGCTTAAGGTAAGAGACGCCTGATTAACATTGTAATAACCATACAGTTATTTATCGTGGCATAAACAGGCTACTGTGTTCACATGTTTCTGACATTTATAGTACCCCATGTACATAGACCAGCACTGATGGCACTATGCTTACTTTGCTCTCTGCTCGTATACGTATGCTTTATGATGTTGCTGTTTCATATTTTAACCAAGGTGGCTTCTGGACAGCAGAAGTCCATCAAAGTCTGACGATGTGATTAACTAATTTGACAGGGAAACTGATGCATTTCTCTCTATTGCTCTGCATCACCGGATATATTGCGGTGCAAGACATCTCATTCACGGAATGGGTATTAATGTATAATCACAGAGAGAGGGAGAGGGGTTTTCAGCGTTGGGCGCACAATAATGGAATATGGATGAATATATATATATATATATATTTTTTTTTGCAAGTGAAAGTTTAGTTGATTACTTCCGAACTTCACAATACTGCCCGTTTTGTAGTCTGTTAACCTTTGTTTTTTTTTATCAACGTTGACAAATTACTGTGGGGAACAAATAAGTAAATACGAGACTGTTTGGCTATCTACAGTGTTGCTTGCAAGGAGGAGGAGAAGGAGATGGCAATGGATAAGTAGAAGGGGACATCTGTTTTATTATATTGTCAAACATGTTAGATTTTGCTGAATAATATATGCTGCTTGTGACATGACCAAGTAGCCCCAACCACCGAGCCAAAACTCATCCATTTCTATAATCTCTTAAAATCCTTCCTGCGCTAAGCTTAAGTTTAATTAACACCAAAAAATGTCATCAAAACGTATTAGGCTTTTTATCCAAAATGGTTTTTGAGATTTGCACAACACATCACTTTGGTCCCTAAGATTGAAAATCAATAGAAATTATCCCTAAGATTGTCCACCATTATTATTTTGGTCATTTTGTTAAAAACTTCTTGAAGTGTCCCGGAACTCTTGGTTGAAAATTTGGGTAATTTTTAAATCTTTGTAACTCAATCGTTTTTCAATCAAATTCGACCCATAATATATCAAAATGAAGATAGGAAAGTGTACAACAAGATTATATCTATTTGGAAGCCAATGGTTGCTGAAGATGGTCAGAAAATAGCCTCAAAGGTGATTGGTCCGCGAGGGAAAACTAAAAAACTCGTTGAAACTAGGTAAATTTACAACGTTCATAACTTTTTCTATACTCAATGAAATTGAGTGATTCAAAAATGAAAATCATACTTTTCAACCACACAAAGAGAATTGTACCTTTCTGGACGGCTAATTCGCATGTGGTTTGGCTGCAAAACGGCTCGAAAGTGGCTAACTTAAGACCAAGACAGCCACTTTCAAGCCTTTTTTGGCCAAACCAAGACGATTTAGCCGTTGAGAAATGTACCATTCTCTTCGTCTCGTCAAGAAGTATGATTTTCGTTCTTGAATCACTCAATTTCGTTGAGTATTGAAGAAGTTATGAACGTTTAAAGTTTACCCAATTTCTGGCGAGTATTCAGTTTTCCTTCGACCAGTCACCTTTCAGGTTATTTTTTGGCCATCTCCGGCAACCATTGGGCCTCCAAATAGGTATAATTTTGTTCTACACTTTCTTATCTTCTTTTTGATATATTATGAATCGAATTTGGTTAAAAAACAGTTGAGTTACGAAGCTTTGAAAATTGCCCAAACTTTCGACCAAGAGCTCTGGGACACTTAATGGAAATGACCAAAATAATGGATGGTGGACAATGTCAATGACCATTTCTATTGATTTTCAATCTCATGGACCAAGGTGTTGTGTTATGCAAATTTCAAGGATCATTTTCGCTAAAAAGCCAACATTTTAATAGCAAATAGTAGCACAATATGAATAAAAAGAGAGAATACAATAGTAAAATTATGTTAAATTAAATAAATATTATGTTTTAAATAAATTTCTAGTATAAGAGACAAATTCAGATTTCTAAATAATAAAAATAAAAAAATAAAAAAACCCAAAATCGTACCAATGGTCCCTTAACTTTAACTCAATTAGAGCAATGGTCCTTCAACTAAAAAATCATTACCATTGGTCCCTCAACTCATCAAAATGTGCAATCATGGTCCCTCAACTAAAAATTCATTACCATTGGTCCCTAAACTTTAATCCAACTAGAGAAATCGTTCTTCAACTTTAACTCAATTGGAGCAATGGTCCCTCAATGATTTGGACATTCACAAAATTCATAAGCATATACCAAACTTTTATGATTTGTGTTAAGAGTTTTAGTTAAGTTTTAATTAAATAATGCTGACTAATTATGTAGAGACTTAGTCAATCACAAGTCCTAGTTTGTAGGAGTCGTGGATGAGGATGTTCACCACGATTAGGTTTGCTTTCGTTGCTTAGGGTTGAGATCTCCACGAAATCAACCTGTGATTGGGGGAGAGAAGTTGTTATTTGTTTTCAGTATTTTCCCTTTAAAATTGTAATCTTCCTTCAACAAATTAATGAGAAGAACAGTTCAATATTTACGTGAGTTTTCATACTTAAGAGCATTGCTAGGGTTCTTAAGTTCTGGTTATCAAAACCAACATTTGGTATCAGAGCCAGTTTTTAGGATCTCAGAAAGAAACAAAGTGAGAAAGTGAACTTGCAAAGCAAGAAACAATGTCAAGTGAGAAGGCAACTGAAAGCTTCGTGCAGCCAGTCATTCCTAAGTTCGATGGTCATTATGACCATTGGAGCATGCTGATGGAAAATTTCCTAAGGTCTATATAGTACTTTGACCTTGTGGAAACGGGAATTGACATACCTGAAGATATCTTGACAATGGCACAACAAAAGAAGGTTGATGAACTAAAACTGAAAGATTTAAAGGTAAAAAATTACCGATTCCAGGTGATTGATAGATCCATTCTTGAAACCATTCTTGAGAAGAACACCTCCCACCAAATATGGGAGTCAATGAAGAAGAAGTACCAAGGATCGAGAAAGGTGAAGCGAGCATAACTTCAAGCCATAAGAAGAGACTTTGTGACTCTTCAAATGAAGAATGGAGAATTTGTGAATGAGTATATTGGAAAAGCTATGTTAATGGTTAACAAGATGAGAATCCATGGTCACAAGATTGAAGACAATGAAGTCCTGGAGAAAATCTTAAGATCAATGGCTCCCAAGTTCGACTACGTGGTTTGCTCCATTAAGAAGTCAAATGACATAGAGGATATGTCAATTGATGAGTTACAAAGCTTCTTGCTTGTTTATGAGCAGAAGCTCAATCGTGAAGGCTCCCAAGAGCAAGCTTTGAAGGCTTCCACCTTCACTAAATCTTCAAGTTCAAGAGGAGAAAGAGGACGTGGTCGTGGAATAGGAGGTCGAGGAAATTGAGATGGTTGACGGTTTGGGAATATAGATGATAGCAAATCATCTTATGTTTCCAAGAAAGAAGATGATCGTCAAGGCAAAGGCAAAGAGTAGTTTGACAAATCACAAGTTGAATGTTACATATGTGGTAACTATAGGCACTACAAAAATGAGTGCTACACCAAGCTTCCTAAGGAGAAGGGAGAGATGTCAAATATTATTGAGAAAAAGGAGGAAGAAACACCGTTGATGGCATTTCATGTTATGGAGAACTTTGACCAGGAGACTTGGTATGTGGACATTGGTTGCAACAATCACATGAGTGGGTGTAAAACATCTTTGTGAATTTGGATGAAAGTTTTCATACAACTGTAAGCTTTGGAGACAAGTCAACAGTGAACGTGATGAGAAAATGAAAGGTTCAAATCAGGATAAAAAATGATTTCATTGACAAATGTCTTTTTCATTCCTAATTTGAAAACAAACCTTCTAAGTGATGGACAGCTTCAAGATAAAGGGTATAAGATCACCATATTTCAAGGAGAATGTGAAATATATGATACAAAGAGAAGCTTCATCACTGTGGTGAAGATGTTACCAAATAGGCTGTTCCTGTTGAAGCTTAAGAGTGTAAATACTTGTATGGTTGCAAAGGAAAATGATGAAAACATGGTTGTGGCATCACATGTTTGGTCACTTGCACTTCAATGGACTAAGAACACTCTATCAAAAGAAAATGGTGACTGGTTTGCCCAAAATCACAAACCAAACTAAGGTCTGTGAGGGTCATAGCAAAGTAGCCAAGAAAAACATTTCCAAGTAAGAAAGCAACAAGAGCTCGCTTAGTTTTGGAATTGGTTCACTCGGACCTATGTGAACCAATCAATCCACGTTCAAATGGAAGCAAAAGGTATTTTATCTCGTTTATTGATGATTTCAGCAGAAAAACATGGGTGTATTTCTTGCATGAGAAGTCATAGGCATTTGATGCATTTAAGAGCTTTAAGGCTCTTGTCGAGAATGAATCTGAGAAGAAAATCAAGTGCTTGCGTATTGACCGTGGAAGAGAGTTTTGTTCAAAAGAATTTGAAGCCTTGTGTGATGAAAGTGGAATAAAAAGGTAGCTTACTACAACCTACACACTGCAACAAAACGGGGTCTCGGAGAGGAAAAATAGAACCATATCAACATGGTTCAAACCTTGCTAGCAAAAGGAGATGTTCCAAAACAGTTTTGGGCTAAAGCAGTTCTTTGGGCAGTTCATGTTCTTAATAGAAGTCCCACATTTTTTGTTAAAAATGACACCCCAAGAGGCTTGGAATGGGAGAGAGGCCTCCGTAAAGCATTTCAAGGTGTTTGGGTGCATAACATATGCACACATTCCTGATGAGAAAAGGAAGAAACTGCACAACAAAGGTGAAAAGTGTGTGTTTCTTGGTGTAAGTGATTTATCCAAAGCTTATAAGTTATGCAATCGTGAAACTGAGGATCATTATTAGTCTAGATGTGGTGCTTGATGAGAATGCAAAATGGAGTTGGTCCACAAACAAAACAACCATGCAACATATACAAGTTGATGATGACTTTGATGGTGAAAACACCACGGCTCAAACCTTACCTCAAATTGAAGAAGTACCATAACAAGTTGAAGAATAGAGATACAATCTAAGGGGTAAATGTTTGAGAAAGAGGTCAGCTTGGATGATGGATTACGATACAAGCTACATAAGCTCAGATGATGACAATGCTCATTTTGCACTGTTTGTAAACAGTGATCCGATCACTATTGAAGAGGCTTCAAAGGAGGTGAAGTGGAAAGATGCGACGGAAAGTGAAATAAGGTCTATTGAAAGGAACAATATATGGGAGCTAACACATTTGCCTAAGGGACACAAGACTATTGGCGTGAAATGGGTCTTCAGAACCAAAGTCAATGAGAAAGGAGAAATAAACAAGCACAAGGCTCGTTTGGTGGCAAAGGGATACAAGCAAAATCATGGCATTGATTACAAAGAAGTGTTTGCTTCCGTGGCTAAACAAGACTCAATAAGGTTGGTAATCTCACTTGCAGCTTAATATTCATGGTTGATTTATCAATTGGACGTAAAATCAATGTTCTTGCATGAAGAACTGCATGAGGAATTATACATCGATCAACCACAAGGATATGAGAAGAAGGGAGAAGAAGAAAAAGTATATAAGTATATAAACTGAAGAATGCACTTTATGGACTGAAACAAGCACACCGTGCTTGGTACAGTTGAATTGATGATCATTTTGGAAGGCTAGGGTTTCAGAAATGTCCCTATGATCACTCACTCCATGTTAAGAGTGAAATTGGAGGTAAAATGTTAATTCTTTGCTTATATGTTGATGATTTGATTTATACTGGTAACAATGTTAAGATGATGGAACAAGAAGTCTATGATGGAGGAATTTGAGATGACTGATCTCGGGCTTATGAATTATTTTCTAGAAGTTGAAGTCATTCAAAAGGCTGCTGGGAATTTTATTTTTCAGAAGAAATATGCACAGGAAATCCTTGAAAAGTTTAAAATGGCTGATTGCAAAGAGATTGGAACAACATTAGAGCCTGGAATGAAGTTATGTAAAGATATCAATGGAGTAACAGTGGATAGTTCATTCTACAAGCAACTCTTGGGAAGTCTTATGTATTTGACTTTCACACGACATGATTTAATGTATGGTGTAAGTGTCATCAGTAGGTACATGGATATACCAACTAAAATGCATTTGAATGCAGCAAAACGAATTCTAAGATATGTAAAGGGAACAATCGATTATAGAGTGTTATATAATAGTCAAAGAGGTTCAGATTTTGTTGGCTTCATTGACAGTGACTACGCTGGGGACATTGATGATAGGAAGAGTACTTCAGGACATGTTTTCATGCTAAATTATGGAGCAATTACATGGTCTTCAAAGAAGCAGCAAATCGTGACCCTATCCACTATTGAGGCTGAGTTTGTGGCAACAGCCTCATGTGCATGTCAAGCTATTTGGCTGAGAAGGATGCTAAAAGCACTTGGTGACAAGCAAGAGGGTTCAACAATCATTTTCCGTGATAACATTTTTGCCATAAAGTTATCAGGAAATCCTGTAATGCATGGAAGGAGTAAGCACATTGATGTTCGCTTTCATTTTCTGAGAAATCTATGCAATGATGGTGTAGTTGAGCTCGAGTATTGCAAGAGTGGAAATCAATTGGCTAATATACTCACAAAGTCACTCAAGCAACCCTTTCCAAGAAATTGAGGAAGCTACTTGATGTGCATTCACTCAAACATCTTGAGAAGGAGTGGGTTGAAAACCTGGCAAGATATGTGATTGTTGAAGAAGCTGATGAAGATTTCATGATGGTGTCTAAACCCTAAACTGTTTTCAATAGAAATCAGTTTAAGGGAAGGTGTTAAGAGTTTTAGTTAAGTTTTAATTAAGTTTTTTAATTAAATAATGTTGACTAATTATGTAGAGACTTAGTCAAGCACAACTCCTAGTTTTTAGGAGTCGTGCCACAACTAGGTTTGCTTGCGTTGCTTAGGGTTGAGATCTCCACGAAATCAGCATGTGATCGTGGGAGAGAAGTTGTTATTTGTTTTTAGTATTTTCCCTTTAAAATTGTAACTTCCTTCAACAAATTAATGAGAAGAACAGTTCAATAATTTACGTGAATTTTCATACTTAAGGGCATTGCTAGGGTTCTTCAGTTCTGGTTATCAAAACCAACAATTTGGACATAAATCTAAATTAATTAAACTAAGCAAATCAAATCAAATGAAATAGATATTATTTAGTACTACGGTCTAGTAGTATTCCTCATTACTTATAAGTGAGAGATCTTAAGTTTGATTCTCGCAAAAGGCAAATTTGAATCACATTATTATGGCTCGCTTATTGTGAGGCTTAGGGCTGGTTTGGTATTGCTGTGCTTTGAAAAAAAGCTGCTTCTGCTGTGCTGTGAGAATAAGCAGCTGTGAAATAAAGTAGCAGAGTGTTTGGTAAACTTTTTTGTAAAAGTGCTTTTGAAAAAAAAAAAAAAAGCAGTATTAAAGTGTTTGGTAAACTTTTATGTAAAACAGATGTGAAAAAAAGCCGGTTTTTCAAAGCTGGGTTTTGCAGCTTCTTGTTTTTGGCTTTTTTTCACCCAAAACTGTGAAAAAAAGCTGAAGCTAAGTGTTTACCAAACACAAAAACAGCTCCCAGCTTTTTTTGATAGCAGCTTTTTTCATAATCACCTCAGTACCAAACCAGGTCTTAGTCAACTCCCCTACCATAATATTGCTTGTTAAAAAAAAAAAATCAAATGAAGTAGGCGAGATATAGATGAAAGAATAAATGGTAAGTTTTATTTTTAAGTCATTCAATTGTTTTTCTTTTTCATAAAATATTTAATTAAATGCATAGGCAATTATGGATAGTTAAATTGACACATGACAATGACATGAAGGGGGTGATAATGATCACCTTGGGTTAGGTAACTAGGCTAGGGAGGGAGAGGTTGAATCAAAACTGGAGAAGGATTCTCTTTTTTTTTTTTTTTTTTTTTTTTTTGTCCCCTTCTATTTGAACGGCCACGATTAAGCCACTTTAACATTTTATATTAATTTTTTTATAGAAAGAGAAAGACAAAATAAAGAGTGTGAGAGTTTGTAACATCCCACATCGCCCAAAGGAGTGGATCCTGTAAGTCTTAAATGTATATTCTCATCTTTACCTAGCACGAGGCCTTTTGGGAGCTCACTGGCTTCAGGTTCCATCGGAACTCCGAAGTTAAGCAAGAAAGGGGCTAGAGCATTCCCAGGATGGGTGACCCACCGGGAAGTTCTGCTCGCGTGAGTTCCCAGAAACAAAACCGTGAGGGCGTGGTCAAGGCCAAAGCGAACAATATCGTGCTACGGTGGAGTCAAGCTTAGGATGTGGTGGGGGACCGGGCCGAGATGTGACAGAGGAGGGGATAGAAGGAGATGGAAAGAGGAAGGGAGAGAATCCTAGTCCCATCAAAATTGATGAACACTTAAGTATGCCAATTGCCCACCTATTGGATGGGCCTAACTCCCATGGACCAAACATTCGGGGTAAAATGGCTTGAGGCGATCTAATGTTATGCTGGCATTAGACACGCTTTATTTTATTTTGTGCTAGGCGCATGGCCTGCTCGTGTGATTAGGGGAGAGTGATTGACCAAAAAGTGCCTACGGGGCTTACATTGCAGGCCACATTAATCTGTGTTTCACGTGGGCTGTTGGATTTCTTAGATCTGATGGTCCATGTTAATCTACCTTTTTTAATTTGGAAAAAAAAAATCTAAAAAAGGGTTGAGCCCACGTGGCACAACCTGGGGCGTTGGATTGCAAAAACTTATAATCCAACGGTCTATGTTATTCATTTAGAAAAAAAAAATTAAAAAAGAGCGATGAGAAAATATCTAAACTTAAGAGAGTTTGAAATTATATATAACATTAATCTTTCTCAAATTAAATTTTTTTTTTTTTTTTATGCCAATTGTTCGGATAATTCATTTACAGAGTAAAAATACCTTTTGACGATTAAGGTTCACTAAAGACAATAATTGCCGATTGCATGATAACCTGAGCAATTACCGCCCTTAAGTGGAGTTGCTTGTACAGGAGCACTATCCCCACAACCAACCACCACCCCGCCCCCTCTCATTCTTTTTTTTTTTTTTTTTTTTTGATACACTCTTTGTGTCTTGAATATTTTGAGTTTTGACCACCATCGTATCGTATCCGTAGATGAGATCTGCCTGCCTGCCTGCCTGCCTATTCACTTGCTACTTCTCACTTCCCACTTGCCTGCCTTCCTTTCTTTGCTTCTTTCCCTGTGAATCTGTAGACTGTCTGTGTACACTTCCATTAGACATCTTGGTCCCACTTGTATATATGCGTTCATTCTGCTTTTCAACAAACATTTCTCAAGATATTAGTAATAATTAGATTGGATTCGATTAGATTAAATTTGTAGTGAAGAAGAAGGAGGGATGTGTTATAATCATGTATAACCGAGGTCTTCTTCTGCTAATTCAGAATCTTGCAACGACAGTAAGTCATCATCATCAAAGGAGGAAAGTTGGTTCAAGATGTACCAATTCTTGGTGTTTTGCGTCCCCATCCTGTTCACTTTCATCCTCCTTTTCGTCTTCTACTTGTTCTATTTTCGCCCTCGACGCCTCCATTGGTCCTCCCACCGAACGACAACATCTCTTCCGCCTCCAGGGAATCACACTCACATATTTGCCACTGTAAGTGTTACCTCATTCTTTCATTCATTCATTCATCTATTTATATATGTTTCTTAAATTGGCTTCCTGCCTGCAACTGTCAGGTTGAGTTGGGTTTGAAGAAAGAGCTCAGGGAGATGCTGCCCATTATTGTATATAAGGAGAGCTTCTCCGTCAGAGATACACAGTGAGTGGGGTTTCTTTTTCCTTCCTTAATTCTTAGTTAATATTGTTTTTTATTTTTTATTATTTAACTTGGAGGAATCGGAATGCAATTGATTGTTTCAGTATCCTGGAAACATGGAATGAATCAATGGAATTATCATTTTTATGATAAGGTAACTGAATTGTAGGCCAAGCTGATAAGAAAATTATCAGCTTGGCTTTCAACATGATATAATCAGTAAGAGCAATATAGATGATGAGTTCTAATATGATTAGAATTTGAAATTGACAGAAATGCTTTTCATTGAACGTGGTAAAAGCAATATAGATGAGGTTAAGTTTGGTATTTTAAGTACAGTTTTTGGTGTGGGGATAATAGAAAGTTATAGCTTGCGTATCGGTTCATCCTTCTTGACATATGCTATGTTTGGTAGTCGCCAAAAAGGAATATCATAGATTCATAGTGTAAATCTCATTCTTCAAGCTTGGAAGAACTTTACTGAAGCAAAGGGTCCATATTTGGATGTTTCCTGATGAGCATTAACAATTTGTCTTGTGTAATTCATAGAAAGAATCATATGGAGCTACTTCTTTTTATATTTTCTCATCTTTTAGTTTTCAGTTGATTATAACATTTTAAAAGCTACTGTTTTTACATTTCATTGATTTCAATATGATAGCAATGAGTTATTGACATTTTTTCGTGTGTGGAGATTTGACTCCAGTAGTGAGATCACTAGTCATTATGTTATTCTAAGTAATCTCATATTATGCCACAGAAAGAGACCAAGAGTGATATAGTTAGTTGACAAGATGACTATCCACAAATTAGTCTTCAGAATTCCTAAGGATAATAATGCGAATCTTTCCAGATTCATGTACCAATTAGCCTATAAAAGGGGCTACTTTGCAAGCTTTTGAAATAAGTGTTAGAGAACGGAAATTCTAGGTTTCCTGCTTGTGTGTGAAGCACAACAACCTTGGAGTGATTCCAAGGCACCTTCCGTGTGAAGTTGAAGGCTGATGTGATGCTGGAATTTTTCTAACTTCTGTATTGGAGTGATTCAATACACCTTTGGTGTGATGCCACAGGCTTGAGTGAGTTCTGTTCTATTTCTCTATCCCTTCTTATTGTCCTACATCACAAGAGTTGTGAAACAATGAGCGTATAGGTACTTCATACAACAAAAACCAAGCCTTATCCCACCAAGTGGGGTTGGCTGTATGAAAATCCATAAGAAGGAATATTGAAACAAACAATGCTATAGTAATGACTTATGTGAATGATTGTTTGTGCAAAATCAATAATTGTTTGAGGCACAGGCTTTAGTTTCCAAATAAGTATGATTTAATTTCTCTGAATCATTTTCCTGCGATGCAATTATACCAACCAGCCAACCCCTCACCCCTACCTTGATTTCTCATCGGTACTGAAACTTGATGATAAGGAATTATATTTTCAGGATATTACTATAAAACAAAACAAAATAGGAAAGTAACGGTGATGGTGACATCTTTTGGTTGTTTAGACTTTGGAATAATTTATCATATTTAAACTAGAACGCTTATTGTCCATAATTTTATATTTAGCATGATGTGTTTGCAGTAGTTTACAATAGCTTCAAATTTACTTCCAGTATAGTGTGCTATTTTTAGATGAAAATAGTGCCTTTAAATCTTAGCTTTCTCTCAACAAATGAGGCACCTTTTGTATTTTTTTGCAGATGCTCAGTATGCCTGGGTGACTATGTAGCGGAGGATAGACTTCAACAGATACCATCCTGTGGCCATACATTTCACATTGATTGCATTGACAGCTGGCTTTCTACCCACAGCACTTGTCCACTGTGCCGCTCATCCCTCCTTTCTGCCCATAAATATCAAAATGAATTGCCTGATGTACCAGTGGAACCAAGTCATGAATCTTCTGTTGCAGTGAATAGTAGTGTAACATCTCTTCGACAGATGCCTCAGGCTTGTGAAGAAACAAAAGCTAGAGAGTTTTCTGGGTTGAGGAATGGAGAACCAACAAGTGCCCAAAACAGTTCCAAAGAAGATGCAAGTTCTGAGTGGGTTGATTGCAAGAGAGGATTGAGGGATGCAGGAAATGCAACTCAAGTGCATCAGCATACTGGTGGATCATCTGGTAATTTGTGATTTGCTGAAGATTAGCTTAACTGATTTTCTTTTTCCTGCCTTCTTGCCCCCCCTTTTCAGAACAGTTTGCTAAAAAAAAGGTTTTTCTGTTATTATTTAAATGCAATTAGCATAATTTGATTATTACATTTCCACTGAACGTCGTATGGTGATGCGCATTGTGCCTTTTTCTTATTTTTTGTCTTTAACTTTAAGATTATGAGACACAACTTCTTGTACTAACTCTCATTTGTGAATATGTTTAACAAATGCCTGTCATTTGCACTTGCAAGTAGTACAGAAAGTAATAAAGTAATTAATCTGTTGTATCCCCCAAGTCGAGTGAGTTTATCTAATTGAGCATCGGCCTCCACTGCTGATTGTTTGTCTGGGTAGATCGCCAGATAATAAAATCTGGTTTTAGTCATTTCCCAAACCAGTTGTCAGGAACATTGTCCAAATTGTCTCCTTCCCTGCCAGTATACTAATTTTATTCCTTATGATAAATTTTCAGCTAATGACATCTGGTTGTCTGTCTATCCATGCAGATGGACTTGAATTGAGGCATTAGAGCTGATGGTAGCATCAAGAATTCAATTGCTGCATTCTGCATGCTAGTATCCAAGTGAGATGCCGCGGTGAGTATAAAAGCTTCCAAACATGCCATATGTTGAGAGAATATTTGGCCATATGCTTCTGTAGATAGAAGCCAAGAAGCAGGTAAAGTAAAACAAACAAGAAGATGTTGTTTCTTTTGATGTTGACATCCTAGACGTCTGCATCAGCATGGAGGGAAGTACCAAGGACAACTGATGAATGCAGGAACAATCAAGTATATCGATGCTTTCAGACAGGAAACCACATCTTCGTTGCGGAGATTCCAAATTGATCTGGCATTGGTCTTGCTTGGGTGGGAACGTAGTTAACAAATTTGGTTTGGTTGTAGGTAAGTTTATCCCCGTGCCCAAGAACATTGTGAGCGGGTACGATTCTCATTTGCTGAATGAACAGTATAAGCGACATCCACTGTTATGTGATTGTCAGTGGTTTGGCGTATGAGAATAAAGACGTGATTTGAACAAGGGTTTACTGTGCACTGAGAGCGAGCATTGTATGGTATTTTGCAAGGATTACGTAGCCTCACTGATTGAGAATATTGTCTTATTTAAATCTTCCAATCGACAATCAGAAGATATATGTTTCTCTCAGACTCATGAGCATTAAGCATAGATTAGATTAGACACCCAAATAAGACCATTTAAATCTTCCAAACGAACAATTTCATCTCAAATTGTAATTAACAAAATGTGAATATGGTCATTCCGTTCCTTTATCTTTCTTTTATTTGTTCTTTAAATCATGAAAATAATTTTTACAGAGAATAGCGAAAATCAAACAAAAAACAACGGATATATTGAATGTGAAGGGCTAGCATTTATCATGTCATTTTCAATTCGTAGTTACGCGTCCGTATTGTATTGGGGTTAGTAACAAGACCCAACCAAAGTCGCCAAACCCAAAGAAGACGAACGAAAGCAAGACAGGTCAAATGTCAACCGGAGAGAACGCGTAGCATACTACATAACTTCACTTCTTCTGTAACTCGGATCGCAACGCATCGCATCGCATCGCATGTTATAATCCTCTCAGTTTGAACTTTGGAGTTTGGCGTTTGAAGTTTGAACACCAGCAGCAGCAGCCGCAGGAGGAGGCACGAGGTGTCTGTCTCCTCAGTCAGCCGTCACGTATCACCGTATCCTCAAGGCTTGTCTTTTTGGGAGGTAAATCTGAATCTCTGTGTTGTTAGAACCTTTTTTCGATCTGTTTGGTTGGTCGATGAGAAATCTGCTTCTAATCTTGTAAACTCACACCGCCCTGTGTTTGTACTATTTCTCCGTACCAATTACCAAACACTCATTGACTGCCATCTTGCTATATTGTTCTCAACCAATAACCAATTTGAATTTAGCATTGGATTCGATTTCGTATCATGCCCTTACTTAATTTGGGGTTTAGACTTGTGGAAAACCCCGAACCTGATGTCTTTGTTTAATTTGAAACCGTCCTTCCAATGTCCTGTCTTTGATTTCATTAGTGATGTCTTTGTTTAATTTGAAACCTTACTTAATTTGGTTTTCCTTCCAATGTACTGATAAGTTCAATTAGACTTTAGGGTCCTGTTTTGATTTCATTAGTGATTGTCTATTGCTCTCTCTCTCTTCCTTGTACTCACGGATTAGGATTAGTACCTTCGGAGACTAGTTTCTCATCTTGCTCCTGAGAGTCAGACAAGCCTACAACGACGCACCCTGAACTTCATTCCCGACGTCAACTACTTAGCTGAACAACAACCCTTGTTGCATTTTTCTGGATATGCTTTTGATTCTGTAGCGGATGTGTTGTTTGCATTTCATTTGGTCCTGCTTCTTTGATGACGAAAATAGCTTATGGTCTTCGGATCCTTGAGTTTGAGTTCAACATAAAATCATATCTTGCCCCCTTTAAGGAATCAAATTTTCAAATCATCGTCTGACACTAGGTAAAAAGAATGAAAGACCAGGGCGGTTTTGGTGATGCTGAGCATGAGGTTCTACTATTCTTGCTTGCAGACCACAAGTGGAATTGAGTATCAACTCTAACGGTGTACTAGTGATGGGTTCCGTTCAAAATACAGTTTACTACTGTTGTGTGTCAAGGGGTGACCGGATCCTCTACGTGTATAGTGGCGGAGATGGTGAAATTGAGATCTTGGCTTCCTTGTGTTTGGAAAAGACTCCTCCTTTTCATAGGTGGTATTTTGAGACGGTGGGTAAAAGGACTTATGGTTTCTTAATTGAAGATGCCTATGTTTATTTCACAATTGTTGATGATAGTCTGGGCAATACCGGGGTTCTTCAGTTTTTAGAGCATTTGAGAGACGAATTCAAGAAGGTAGCCAGGAAGGGTTCAAGGGGAAGTTTGTCAAGTGTTATGAGTTCTGTTGGCATACAAGAACAGCTAGTTCCTGTCATCCACCGCTTGATCACCTCCTTGGAGAATGTTTCTCATGGTGGTAGTAATTGGACAGCTGAAGCTTCTCCGTCACTTCATGCTGGTCTTTCTCCATCACCAAGTAGCGCAAATGGTCAAATTGAAGTTGCCAATTCTACAAAAGCCCCTCTGTTGGGGAAGTCCAGCAAGCAAGACAAGAAGAAGGCTAAAGAGCATGTGATTGCAATGAGAGACATCGAGTTGGAGGAACATAGGAAATCTACGGATAGAGGAGTCAGTATTGACTCAGCTAATTTGGGTTGCAATAACCAAGATGGAGCAGGTTCTTCAATTGCATTACAAAAGGATTTGGGATCAATGAGGATTAGGTCAGGTTCTCAAAGCATTCGAAAGAAGTGGTGCCGCCAAGTGCGAATTGTCCTTGCCGTCGATGCAGCTGTTTGTGTTATACTGTTTGTGATTTGGTTATTTATTTGTCATGGTATCGAGTGCATCCGTTGAATATGTTGTGATCGGTGTCTAAAGTGGAGCTTGAGATCGTGACTGGAGAGGTGGAAAATCATGTCATCAAGAAACAGTTGTCGCAGAGAAGTCTACGGGAGTCACATGTTAACCTTCTGAATGATGTTTCTGCGTCTATTTGATTTGAAGGTACAGATGGTGGAGGAATTTATTGTATAGTTGGTTCTACAGTTTCTGTGCTTCTTGTGCATATGCAGATTTAGAAAATTATAAACTCGTGAGTCAGTCGGGAGCGTTTGGATGCCTTTATGCAATTTCATAATATTCTCTTGTACTTGCTGCTGGGATTTTTGGTAGTGCTTTGTGTATCGTATCATCATCATCGTGCAATGAATGAAGCATTCTGTTGGAAAGTCGTTTGCTTAACCTTTTTCTTGTTTAATATTTGTTCATTTTAAAGCCATCTATGTTTCCTATTTCTTGGTTTCTTCCTTGACCTAACCGTCAGGGAAGAATGGATGGCTTCCAAGCAACAAGGCAAATACTTATAATCTTTGCATTCCGACCATTGCATTAACCGGTCATGTTCCTCTCCCCGAGAAGGGTGGCTGGCATGCACAACCGTTCGAGCAAACCGTTTCAAAGGGAACATTTGCTTACTATAATGATGATGCGGCATCGATAATATTGCAAATAAATTAAAGGAGTTGTTAAGAGGGAATCGGATTTTTTACGACATATTTTCAATGGAGAGGAATGTAAAGTAACATGAACCCATCAAACCATGAACTGAATATTTTAGATAAGAGCCGAGCCGGGTGATCCGATCCGATCCGATCCAATCCAGTTCAGTCCAGTCTGCTGAGAGTCAGTGGTTTGTAGTAGTGCTAAAATGGGGGAGTTGAAGTTTCAACCGTCCGTCCCTAATGAGACCCTGAAAACAGCAAAGTGATGATTCAACCTTCTTCGGCCTTGTAGTCCGTGGACACTCCCCGTTGCTCCCACTTTTGCATTTCGGCATGCGAAGAATATCCACATGATCCTCTGGTGTACAAGTGCCATTTCACACCTTCATACATTCACAATCACAGCATCATCATCATCATCATCATCATCATCATTATTACTGAACCATATAGACAAAGGAATCTAAACTCAGGGCTCGATCAGTTTCAATAACTTACAATATGCATGGCTCCCAAACTAGGGACATGTCGAAACCTGTGCACAGGCAAGGCCTCGCTGATAATGACCTGCTACAACCTTCGCTATCTACATCCAGATTGTCGTCTCCATTAACCTGATGAATATGTGATAAGACGACTCTTTAAGAATAACTACTGTGAGGTAGCAATATCAGGGACATAAGAAATTAAATTATGTGAAGAAGAATGAAACGACTCACATTAGTACAGTAGACCTTTTGTCTTTTTGCCAGAGAGCCTGCCGAAGAAGACTGCTGGGGAAAAGAAGTCTGTCCCTGGCAGCAGAAGATTCAATAGCAACAATGCAGTGTGACGCAAAGGGTGGCAATAATGCAAACTCGTGTCTGATTCTTGCTGAGACCATCCTCAAGGATTCAAACAAGAAACCTCACTGTACAATTGTTCTGATTTATCTGGAAAGCCATTTGAATGCTCTTCACGGCTCAATACACCGTTCGTATTGCTATGACAAACACAAGTTTCCCGCTTTCCACTGCAGCTGGTGTCAAGGGTGATCTCGTTTTTGGGATTATAACAAGAACAAGTTTGATCATATGCTTTAGCGATTACCTGTTTATAACTGCAGCATTGACCTCAACAGTTATGACACAAGCACCGAGCAAAGACTCAGTGGTGTGCTAATAATGAATTCTTAGTCTCCTTCCCTATCACTCAACCTAATGAACACTTGGCAGTCAACAATACAAGTGATACACCAGATGAGGACTCAAATGTAGGTCAGCTAGACGAAATTGAAACATAAAAACCTGTTCAAATGTTCCGACGACATTGTTTTTCATTTAATATCAAGAAAAAGTAGAGACATCCCCTGCAACCCCAGACTTAAGTTTCAGTGTAAGATTGAACCAAAAAACCATTCAGGAAAACCTGCTTATATGTCCAATCCAAAGCCAGAAGGGGTATCTGGAAATGAATACTCTTCTAAAAACTCCTAAAAGGACACTTAAAAAGTCAATAAGAAAAAGAAAAACTACACGAGGTGGCATTCTGTGTGCGTTGGGGGAGTGGGGGAGAGAGGGGGTGCCTCTGCCTGGGAGAATTTAAAACAAGTTTCAATTAATGTTAAATCTTATATCGAAAATTTAAGGCCTTGCATTGCACAAAATGAACTCCTTGGACCCTCTACCCATTGCTGTTTAGTTTTAGGTTGGATTGCTTAACTTTCACAAGATATGATATCAGGTAATCCATCCACGTGCTAAGACCAGTTTGGTCACACATGTTTTACATCACCCAATCCACGTGTTTTGCTTAGGGAAACCGCTTGGGAATGGATGCGTCGGTAATAGGCCTAACAAACGGGTTGTGTTTATCGTGTTCGTATAACACATATTATCTTAATGGGTGCTTAACAGGTCGGGACCCGACCTGTTATGAAAAAATATTTGTTTTCTTAAATTTGCACATACCACACATTGCCACATAAATATTACTTCAAAATATTAAAACACATTTGTCGTTTAAGTACTACATCTACACTCGAAAATAAGAGCCTAATAAAAAAACATCCATACACTACTAGTCTATTA